TGCATGTTTTTTTTTCAACAGCAGGGCTTTCACCAGCCAAAAATTAGAGATTTCGCACCCGAAAAAACCTTGGAAAACTGGGAGGATGATCTTCAAAGACCATTGGAGAAGGAAATAGGGCACAATTGGAGACCTTAACAATTCAATGATATCTAGAAAATAGTTGTAAAGATATCCACAGTCATTATCTTATATTATATATATATGTCATGATCTATATATGTAATATATATACATATATATATATATATATATTTTTACAGTATCCATCTCGCTCCACTTCTTCCGACAGGCGACGCAAGGCTACGTCTACGTGGTGTGCTAAGGGAGGCTGCGCGAAGCATTTTGCCATGGGAGATGATTTGTCCCACCATCTGAACCGTCATCATTCCGGAGTTTATGGGTCAAATCATCGAAAAATGACTAAAATAACTATCAATGATGGTTTATAGAGAAGGAAATAAGCCACAAACTCCATCCAAAACGAAATCATCATCATCATCATCATCATCATCATCATCATCATCATCACCACCCCAACTCCATCCAAAAATCCGAAAAAAGAACCTCCGTATCCCCAAGTGATGTTTCCCAAGGCAGAAAAATCCGTACCTCCTCGTGCCGGCCAGTCCTTGTGTTCCTCAATGGGCAGGCCCTTCCCCTCCGTGGGCGACGTCGACGGTGTCGTCCCCTCCGGCGACGTCGAGGTTGTTCGGTGCAGCGGCAGGGTCTCTAGACCCATGTTCACCTCGATGGGATCATGGAGCGTTCAGTCAGAATGGTTATATCATAGGGTTTTAATGGAAAGTCATCTATTTCTATGGAGGTGTTTAAATGTGTTGAATGGGAAAATCATCTATTTCTATGGAGGTTTAATGGTGTTATACCATCTGGTTATTTAACATAGCCATGGAAAATCCCTGAACTAAATGGAGGTTTCTAGCTGGGAAAATCATCTATTTCTATGGGCCATTTTCCATGGCTATGTTAAATAGCCAGAGGGTCAAAAAAAAAGTTATTGAATCATCAATGGTTTTTCTGGTGAATGGATTGTGGTTGATGAATATGGTTAATGTTTGATGAATGGTTGATTTAATAATGGTTAATGGTTGATTTAATAATGGCTAATGGTTGATTTAATAATGGTTAGTGGTTGATTTAATGGTCAAAAAGGGTACTTCATCATCCTGATGATTTTGTTGTTTTTATGGTTGATAGTGGTTATATGATAAAGGGTATACAAAAAATCATCAGTACTAGTGGTTAATTGTTAATAATGGTTCATTACAATGGTTGATTATATTGGGTACTGAATCATGGGTACTAATGGTTAACTGTTGATTCAATGGTTGATTATAATGGTTGATTCAGTGGTTGACAATGGTTAATAATGGTTCATTACAATGGTTGATTCAATGGTTGATAGTGGTTAATAGTGGTTAAACAGTGGTACAATATCATCCCTGGATTAATAAACCCCTAGTTTACCACTTGGGAGGGGGTACCATTTGTAAAGGGAAATATCTAGAAACGTTGGGAGCATTCATCCGGGGTGAACATTATATAATGGTCAATCAACATTAATAGGTTAAGACTGGTTGATAGTGGTTGATAGTGGTGAATGATGGTGATTAATGGTTTATTGACAGGATTGATACCTCCCGGTGTCATCAGACGCGGCGAAATCCCCGAACGAAATTCAGGTTTAGAGCTGGGAAAATCATCGAACTAAATGTGGGTTTTCACCCATTAAATCGTCCATCGCTATGAAAGCCATGGCCTTTTGCTTCGATGATTTACCTAAAAAAAGACGATGTATTTCTTACTTTTATCCAAAGCCACTTCTCTAGAGGGGTCTGGACCCCCCCAAAACATAAAAAGAACTTTTGGATTCAGCTACCCTCTGGTAATTTAACATAGCTATGGAAAGATCCACCATTTTTCATGGGAAAACTCACTATTTCTATGGTCATGTTCAATAGCTATGTTTGACATAACCAGAGGGTAATGTATTTCCATAGCATTTTTTTCAATGATCAGAGGGTTTTTTTAACTCTTTGAAGGATCATCCCACTGAGTAACTGTTCCCATCTATCAGGAACCGAAAAAACGACCGACTGGGATAGTTCATGAGAATTCACTGGAAGGGGAAATTTAACAATGGGGATGTGGAATATTGCTCAACCTGTCATGGAATTGAAATACTGGTTGGTTGAGAACGGGTGACTTCATAGTCTCAAGCAAAAAATCAACATCAATCAACCAGGCAGTACAATCCGAATCCCATATTTTGTAACTTGTCACAACCTCGGTCGGGGGTCACTGCTTGAGTTCACCCCCAAGAAAATGGAGGGTGAACTAAGCATCAAACATGGCAAGTTAAAAAAATCCCAAAATTGGGGGGTGATCCCTGAAATAAAATTAGGGATAGAATGGTTTTTCGCATCAAACACATGGTTTCTGGCACGCCCCACATCCCTGTTTGGGTGGGAATATTTCC